TCCTCTCAATATTGCATCGCCGTTGAGAGTTGAGTCTAGCTTCTGCATATCGTCGTTCATCTCCATCTTGTGTCCGTGCCTCCATCACTGTGAGTGCTTCTTGCGCCCTGGCGTTGTCCATGCACTCATTTTCAGAGCCAGTTGTGGTCAAGACGCTTGGCGACGAGACCTGGTCGTGCCATTCCAACTCACCGAGCTCGTCACCAGTACGGCTGGTCCATGGCCTCCAAAGTGACTCATTAGGCGTTGACCGAGCTGAAGAAGGCATTGAATCACACTCGCCGTGCTAGCCAGTCGAGCCGAGGAGGACCTTCCCGAAGGGGGATGGGGATGGGGATCGGATGGTGTGATGGGGTGCCATACACAGATCAAACCAGAGCATGATGTATGGGATGGTGGCCCTCCCTTGATCAACCCCGATGTCATTCACTCTCTCGCCCGTCCCGTGATGCCGGCATCCGTCATGTGGCATGGAAGACTTGGTCAGCAGGCGGCACGGGGAGGGGGAGGGGGGGAGGGGGGGAGGGGGGGGGCAACGAGACAGTGACAGACCAGACTCTAGGGAGGAGGGAGATGGCAGAGACCGAGGCGTACTACCGAACCAAGAAGGTGGTATGGGGCGTCCAGCCCGAGCCTGTGGTCATTGTCCTGCAGGGCGAGAATGGCCCATGCCCGCTCCTTGCTCTGGTCAATGTCCTTTGTCTCCGTGGTCACCTTGTTCTCTCTCCAGACGGCACGGGCATCGTCTCCTTTGCTGATCTCGTCACTCTGCTGGCAACTGCTGTTCTGGATCGGGTTGCTGCTCGCCGACTTGCTGGTCATGATGGGGATGATGCTCGGGTCCAGAAGCTGGTGGATGAGGCCATCGACTCGCTGCCGACGCTCGCTGTCGGTCTCGATGTCAATCTCCGCTTTGGTGGTGTTGATCAGCATGAGTACACCGCTAACTTGGTTTTGTTTGATCTTTTTGGCGTCGAGCTGGTCCATGGCTGGGTGGTAGATCCGCAGGACGATGCCACTCGTGCTGTTGTTGCCCATCGCTCCTACAATCAGCTCGTCGACCTCATCGTTGGTGCGGCGCCCGTCCCTGTGTCGACTGCAGCGGGGGAGTCGGGCCACGGTGGAGAAGCTGTGGTCGCTGACTCGGGTGACGGTGGGGCAGATGCCGCGGGGGAGTCGGGCCACGGTGGAGAAGCTGTGGTCGCTGACTCGGGTGACGGTGGGGCAGATGCCGCGGGGGAGTCGGGCCACGGTGGAGAAGCTGTGGTCGCTGACTCGGGTGACGGTGGGGCAGATGCCGCGGGGGAGTCGGGCCATGGTGGAGCAGACACTGCGACTGACCCGGGCCACGGTGGAAACGCTGCGGCCGCTGACCCGGGCCACGGTGGAGACGCTGCGACCGCTGACTCGAGCCATGATAGTTCGCATTCCGCCGACTCTGGTGGTGAGGGAACAATCTCCATCTCCACGCCTGACGCGCGCGCCGAACCGTCTGCGGCTGACGCGGGCGATGGCAACCAAGATGCTGCTGGGTCAGGCGATACAGACGCCGCAAGCAAGGCGGGCTTGGAGCGCGCAGTGGCTCAAGAGTGGTTGGCTAGCACTGCAGGCCAGCTGACGTACTACGGGCTCGCCGAGCTTCATCGCCACCTTGGCATCAACTCGCTGGCGGTCCTCTACCGTAACAACCACTTTTCCACCATCCTCCGCGACGAGTCGGGCCTCTACGCCCTGATCACCGACGTCGGCTACGCCGACTACGACGATGTGGTGTGGGAGAAGCTCGCGTCGATCGACGGCGACGACGGGTTCTACACCGGTGCGCTCCGTCCGTACGGCGCCAGTGCGGCTCCCGCCGCGCCAGTCCCTGCAGTGCACGATGCCGATCTCCTCCTCGCCCGCCAGCTGCAAGCCGAGGAAGAACGCAACGCGCGCGCGCATGACGCGCGCGACCGCCGCCACGACGACGCCCGTCGCAGGCAGCAGGCACGTGCCCGGCAGTCGCAACCGGCTCAGCCGCAGCCTCCCCAGTCGCAGCCACAGCCGCCCTCACCCGCCGCCGGCACACAGAAAGCCAAGAAGGGATGTACCATGATGTAATGAACATTGCCTCTGCCTCGCTACAGGGTGAGGGCGGCTGGCTACTGTGACGGGGCCGTGGTTGGGCGGGCAGCCGCGGCCGCGGCCTCGGGCCTCGCGGCCTTGCTCCGCTGCTGCTTCTCGTAGGCGATGATGCGCTCGCGGACCTTGTTGAACAGCTCGTGGCGGAGCGCGTGGCGGGCGGTTATGCGCTCTCCAGGCTCAAAGCGAAGCATCTTCTTGACCAGGTCGACGAGGAGGCGCTTCTCGGAGGAGAACATGAGGTCGATGGGGGTGATCTGCTCGACGTGGCGGAGCGAGGACTTGGACTGGGCAAGCTCGGGCCAGCGGAGCTTGCCGGAGGCGTCAAAGTACTTTTGCGCGTGCGAGTCTGCGTTGCGGGCCATCGACGGCGGGATGGCGCCGAGCAGGCGCTCCATCATGGCGAGGTGCTCGACGTTGTCGTGGGTCTGGAAGACGGCCTCGCCGGTGAGGAGCTCGATGAGGATGCAGCCGACGGACCAGATGTCGCAGGGGAACGACCAGCCGAGGCCGAGAATGACCTCGGGTGCGCGGTAGTGGCGGGTCGAGACAACCGATGAGTGGTAGTCGTGCTCGTACGTGGCCGAGCCAAAGTCGATGAGCTTGATGGCGGTCGAGGCCGGGAGCCGGTACGAGCGCTCGCGCCCGGTGTGGTCGTACGTCGGTAGTGTGTCCGAGTTGGCAAACAGGATGTTCTCCGGCTTGAGGTCGGTGTGGATGAGATCCATGTCGTGGAGGTACGCCACCGAGTAGATGAGCTGGTACGCCAGGTCGATGGTGTGGTTGTAGCGGAAGCCACGGTACTTGTTCTCCTTCATAAAGTCAAAGACCGAGAGCCCGTACCGCTTGAACACCATGCACACATGGTTGCGGTAGTCAAAGTACCCGCGGAGATGAATGCACCCCGAGTCACCGTTCTTGGCCTCACGCTGCTCGACGTCGTCCAGAATGTTCATCTCAATTTCTGCCGCCTTGCGGTACTTGGGGATGTTGCGAATGATCTTGATGGCCACCCACTGCCGCCGCTTGTTGTCCCACGCCTCAACCACTTTGCCAAACGTGCCCTCACCGAGCAGCGCCTGGATTTTGTACCGCGACGTGATGTTTGAGCCCAGCCGCACGATAAAGTGTCCGTTCTCGTCATCGCACGACGGCCGCGGCTCCTTGGGCGCCCGCGAGCTGCTGCTCCCGCCATGCCGCGAAGCCTTCTTGGTCCCGCTCGCTGCGCTCTTGTGCGCTCCGCTGCTCTTGCTTGACTTGCTTGTCCCGCTCCCGCCTGCGGGCCGCCACTGGGCCGACCTCGCGCCCGGCGGTACAAACGAGGACGGAATGACCGGTCGGTCGCCCACAAGCAGCCCGTACCGTGTCGCGTAGAGCACCTGGTCCGCCTTTGGCAACGCCAGTACATCCTTGCCTGTCAGCGCGTACAGCGCCCCAGCTTCCCGCTTCCCACTCCCAGCCGCGCCTGCCTGTGACCGCGCCGACGTGGCGAGTGTACCCTTTGCCGCCGAGCCAGCTGCGCTCGCCACCGCTCCGCCCAAGGGAGCGGATGAGGCCGAGGTCGACGTAGCCGAGCCCGAGCCCGAAGGCCCAGCACCAGACGAGCCGCTCGCCATAGGCATGCCCGTCATGCCCGCCGTACCGCCCGTGGGCGCCGTCGGCAGGTGGACGCGGCTCACACCAGGTCGGCCGTCGTCAAAAGTTCGCGCGTACTTGCGGCGCGGAAGGGCGGCGTCAGAGCCGAGTCCCTTCCGCTTACGCGTGGCCACGCTTGTGTCTGCTGCATGCGGCCGATGTGTCGACATGCTGCTCTCTCTTGGTTATGCTCCTCACGTTCGGTCGCTTCCCTCACGCCCGCCTCTTGCCCTCGGTAGCAGCAACGTGCGCTGATGCCGGATGACAAAGGCCGGAGTCCGGTCAGAGTCGAATGTTGCCTGTCGTCAGCGAAATTAATGATACCTTGTTCCCCAAATTGCCAACAAAAACTGCCGCCACTCACCCATGAAACGGCCCGCAGACACGCCGAGTCGCACAAGAGCGACGAGTCGCACAGCCCCCCCCCCCCCCCTCCCCCCCCTGGCACATCCTGCACGGATCTGTCCATCCCACACAGCCCGTATACCCCGTGTAGCCCGCGCAACCCATGCAACAAGTCAAGAAGGTCAGCCCGCTCATCGCCTGGCCTCATCGCTTGTGATCTGTTGTCGGGTCAAGCCATTGCATGTTCCCCCCCCATCAAAACAGCCCGGCTTGTCGCCTTGTGACCCCGCCTTCCTCCAACTGGGCCTACCTATCATTCATGCACGTCATCCATCAATCACACCATGATGATCGGCCACACTATATGAGGGAGCACCAATAACAGACACATGCACAGATTGGGGTGCCTCGTTGATGGCGTCGCTTACGGTGACGATGAGCGTTTTGTCGCCGGCTACAGCGACGCCTTGTGTCTACAACAGCACCCGCCATTGATCAGTGATTTTTCATCGTCGCCAGCTCAACAAACATCACACGCCATTCTGCCGGCACATGCTCCCCATTGCTTACCATACACCACACTACACGCGTCTATGATCCCCCATCTTCTGCGTTGCATTGTCTCAACGAAATCGCTGGCTTCTCTCGATGACCATCGCTCATCGAACTCTTCACCCTGCCGCCATCATGAAACAGCCCCGATCCCTGCCGACCTCTTCTCGCGACCAGCATCTCCTTCTCCTTGATCCTCCCAACGCCATCCCCACATCATCAACAACCGCTGACTTCTCCCTTTACAGGCCATTCTCTCCCCTCCTCCCGCGTCCACCGCTCCTCCTCTCCCCCAACCACCCGACTCCGCCATTCTGTGGTTTCGCACACCTTTGGCGCCACACGCAGCGACCGACAGCAATCACAACACCAACGACGCAAGGTTGGTCATGGCGAGCGAGCGGCAGACCCGGGAGCACATCCGGCATGCGTTTCGTGCGTTTGACAAGAGCGGGCGTGGGAGGCTGGGGCGAGACGGCGTCTGCCTGGCCATGACGGCGGTCCTTGGCTATGAGCCGTCGCGGGTCGACGTCGCTGTCGTCCTCGGCCTCCCGCTGGATGCACCGGCTGGAGAGCTGCAGAGTGCGACGGTGAGCGAGGATACCTTTGTGAGCTACATGTCTGACAAGATGGCGAGAATGGATGTCTCTGCTCGCGCCGCTGATGCCTTTGACGCCCTGGCGTCTGCATCGGGCCTTGGCTACCTGACCAAGGAGAACTGCCAGGCTGCGCTCGACGCGCTCGGTGTCTCCACCCTGCTGGAGCTTGTCACCGCCGATGCACCGGGCTCGGCCGTCGGTGCTCCGTTCATTTCGCTGGACGACGTCTTTGCCGAGGCTGATCTCGACGACGACGGCCGGATCACCCGCGCAGACTTTCTGCTCCTCGCCTCGCGGGCGGCAGCGCAGACCATGTGAACCGCGCAACAGACGGCGAAGCCAGCTTGCCACTCCTCTCCTGCCACACGCTTACCTCTTTATTCATCCTTCCAGCTCTCGGCAGCGAGTGCGTCGGCGAGCAGGACGTAGACCGAGAGCGGATACCGCCGGACAAACCGGATGCGGAGCAGGCCGTCGCCGCCTCCGTCCTCGCTGCCCACCAGCTCGAGGCCGGCCGCGTCCAGGAGCGAGGAAGCCATGTCTGGGAACTCAAGCACCTCGTCGCGCCACTGCGGGCGGAACAGGATGTCGTCGTAGTGGTAGTCGAGGTGTGGCGCGTAGCCGATCGTCTGCAGGAGGTCAACGACCCAGCTGACACCGCCGACCTGCCCGCTGCGCCGCTCCACGGCGCCGTCGCTGCTGCGCGTCACGCCGCTGTACATGGCAAACACCATGTTTGACTCGAGGACCGACGGTGGAAGCAGCGCACCACCGCTGTCGCGCACTCGCGGGTCGAGCGAGCCCAGAAAGTTGGCCGCAGACTCGAGCGACGCCACCCGGTAGCACGCCTCCTCGCCTTCAAACTCCTCACACACAAAGAGCTTGAGCAGCTCGATGCACGACGCAACCTCCTCCATTCGCGCCTTGACCATGGTGTACACCAGGATCGGGAACATGTCCTCCGCTCCGAGCGCCACCGCGCACGATGCGCTCCCGCTTCGCTCCTTGGCTGCCTGCACCGCACTAACAACAGCCTCCGAGCCGCCCATCAGGGCCGCCAGCTTGCTCCGCGGCGAGACCTCGTGCGCCACCCGCTCCATGCACGCAATCGCTGCGTGGTACGGATCGCTCAGCGTGGTGCTCTCTTTTGCCACCACTTGCCGGCTGACAGGCACTCGAAGCAAGATGCCTGCATCGTCGGTCTCGTCGCCGGTCTCGCACGTCTCGTCGGCATCGAAAAAGTCGACGTGCGCAAAGTCGGGCGAGTCGACGGCATCAAAGGCGGCAAAGATCGACGACGACGACCCGCCGCCTGATCGCACCCCGCCGCGTGGTGACCGCTGGGCTGCCTCGCCGCTGCCCACCGCCACCCGAGGCGACGTTAAGCCTTCGTCAAACTCAAAGACGCCGCCACCGGGCTCGTCATCGGTCGTCATCACCACCCCAGCCTCGTATCCGTCCTCGTCGTCGACGTCATCTTCTTCGTCGACCTCAGCATCATCCTCATCATTGCCGTCGTCGCCGTCGTCGCCGTCGTCACCGCGAGCCCCCGTCTCGGCAACATCGGTTCCTGCGTCGCCACTGTCGGGCACTTGGTCGTCGTCTTCGCTCTGGTCGTACACATACTCTGAGGTGAGTCCGCCAACCGATGACATCGACGAGATGACAGGCGGCAACGAGTCGGTCACGCCGCCGCGAACGCGGGCATCGGCATCCAGCAGCAGCTCGTCCTTCACGCCGAGGTCGCGGAGCGAGACGCGTGCAAAGCCGGCAATTTTGGACGCCAGCGCGTGGTTGGCGGCAAAACACCGCGCTCTCAGCAGCTCGGAGAGCACTTGCCACGTCCGCTCAAACAGGACCGTGTCGAGTACGTCGAGAGAGAGCACCTCCCATCCGGGCGGCATGTCGAACGAGTCGGGCGTCCCACGCGCCGCCGCCGACCCGACCCCGACGCCCGGCGCCTCGGGAACCTCGAACCCGTGCGCCGACATCCACAGCACCTCGAGCACCGTCAGCCGGAGCAAAAGTCGGAACGACGCGAGGTCGTCGATGGCGTTGGCCACCGCCGCCCGCGCCCGTATCGCGCCCGACGAGCCCTTGGGCATGCTCACCGCCCGTGCCGCGGAGAACGAGCCATAGAGCAGGTTATAGATGTCAACAAACGCACGCACAAGCGAGGCCAGCGGCGAGAGCGAGAGCGAGGTCAGCAGCGACCGCACCCGATCGCCAAACCCGAGCGACGGCGACGAGATAAACGGCGCCATCGCCATCGCCAGTCGGTCCAGCGTCCCTGGCAGGTGCGCCTCGACAAGGCCCCACCACTTGGACGAGCTCGACCCGACCTGCCGCCGCAGCTTGCCCAACCGCTCGCTCTCCCATGCACGTCGCGGATCAAGCGGAGCGCACAGCGCACTTCGCAGCGAGTCCACGAACCCGCTTTGCCCTGCTGTCTGCGCAAGCATCGCACCCTCGCCAGCCGGCCCTGCGCCGGCCAGCTGCTCGGCCTCGTTACCAGGCGCAAGCAACGTCACCATGTGGCTCCCACCGGCCCGTGCTTTTTCGTACATCTCCATGTTGGCGAGCACAAGCTCAGCTGCCACCGCCGACGTGCCGGCTGCCAGCGCGGCTGCCGTCCGCGGCCGCTCCACCACGGCCCCAAGCAACTCCCCTGAGCTTCCCTGGATCTCGCCGGCCACGCGTTGACCCAGCGGCGAGCTGAAGGCGGCAGGCCCGACCAGTGCGTTGTCTCGAAAGACGGCCTCGACGCACGAGCCATCAAGGCAGAGCAGCACGCCTGGTCCGGAGAGCGTGCCGGCAGCAAAGGTGCCGTAAAAGACGCCGAAGCGTGGGAAGGAGTCCAGGACTCGCACTACGCCGTCGTGCTCGGCCCGGCTCATGCCTAGCTTCCCGCTCGGCGAAAGGACAGGCGGTGACCGACCCGAGCCTGACCGCGACCTCGTCATGGCCTCAGCAACCAAGCTTCCCTGCGCCGCCACCTCAAACGCCTCTGCCATCACCCGGCGGCAGGCCGCCAGCGACGCGCCGGTTGACAGCGCCGAGAGCACGCCCGGCCCGCTCAATGCGTCAGCCTCAAACATGCCCGAGTACACCACGCCCTCACGGAGGTATTCCATGGCGCCGTATCCGCTCCGCTCCACATCGTAGTCGTCGAGCAAGAGCTCACCAGCGGCCGGCGACGCTTTCACCATCACCTCGCCGCTGTAGCTGGCGCCGTCCGGGTAGACAATCCGGCCCGAGCTCACCGGCACATCGCCAGCAAACACGCCCTCAAATACGTACGCGCCCGGCACGACGAGGCGGCCAAGGCCGGCCCGGCGGCCGTTGACAAACTCCCCCTCGTACAGCGTGCCGCGGCTCGGAAACAGCAGTGTTCCGAACCCGTGCGGGCGCTCGTCGTCGTTGAGCAGGCCCTGGTACACGCCGTAGTCGCCGATGGGCATCGGCTTGAGCGTCTCAAGCATCGTGCTCGACGACTTGCGCAGGAGCCGCAGCGCCTCTTGTGAGTACTCGCCGGATCGGCTGCAGTCGTCGTTGTCGTGGTCGGAGCTCCCGCCCGCCACTGGCGTCGCTAGATGCTTGCCCACCCGCACACGTTTGCGGACCTTGGTTCGGCGGGAGGGCACCGGTGAGTCGGCCCGCACCGAGCTGCCTGCCGCCGTGACGCTGCCGGCGAGTGCGCGCTGGAGGCTGGCGATGCGGTCGTGCTTCTCGGCAGTAAGGAGCGCGGCGGCGTCGACAGCAGAGAGAACCCGCTCGCGGGTCTCAATGGACTCAGCGGTCATGGCCGTTCCGTCGGGCTCATTGGGCCTGAACGACGAGTCGTAGGCCATCAGCTGGACCAGCGACCGCGCCTGGGTGAGAAAGAGCGACTCCTTCTCACGGTACTGCTCCTCGACTGCAGCCAGTGCCGATGAGACAGCCAGCAGCTCGTTGACTCGCCGCCGCAGCTTGACGTAAAAGTGCCGGTCCGAACGAGCGTCGCCGACGCACCCTTGGCGTCTGCCGACGTGCCCTCGAGTGCTCCTGGCGGCATGGCGGCAAAGAGCGGCGGGAGCACGTCGGCCAGCGCCGCGTTGGCCTCCTTGCACAACTTGACAAACTTGCGCCGGAATGTGGCCGTGTCCTTGGGCGTGCCCAGTGCTTCGATGGCTGTCTCGATGGCCTTGACTCGCTTGGTGAGCTTGGAGACGGCCTTGGAGAGCGAGTGCAGGATCTTGCGATCGCCCTTGGGCAGTGACATGGTGCCGGACCTCGGCCGCCCGCGAGCACGCCCACCTCCGCTCCCGCCGACCACGGCCTCTAGATTGCGATTGATGAGCGGAACGCCTCCGTGGTCTGCAAACATCGCCTCCTCGCCGCTGCCTGCCACACCGAGCACTGGCGAGCTCGCCGTCCTGGCCAGCGGTCCCCCGTCCAGCCGCGCACTCGGAATGGGCGTAGGCAGCGTCGTAACCTCCCCGCTTCCACCAGCTCCACTCGCCATGCCTCCAATATAGTCTCCACAACCACCACCACCACCACCGCTGCCGCCGTCGTCCTCGTTGGCATCAGCCACCGACTTGCGTCGCCCCAGGCGCCGGAACCTGCTCAAAAGCGAGCTCCCTGTCGCCACCGGCCACCGTCGCAACCCGCTTGCCCACTCTGTGAGTCCATGACCATCACTCCTTGCTCGCTCCCCTCACAAGGCTCACTCTTCTGCTCCCTCCCTCCCTGGCTGGCTGGCTAGTTGGCTGGCTCTGGCTGCGTACGGTTCGACATGGACTGAGTGAGGTGTTCTGGTCGCATTCGAGTTGGCGCTGGCGCTGACGCTGGCGCTGGCGCGAGCCCAGTGATGGCCTCCTGGAGCCATTTGCCGCGAGCATGCAGCAGCTGCTGTGGTGGGATAGTTGTATCATGTATGGATCAAGTGTGGAGCATGGCGGATGTGTGTTTGGATGGAGAGGGTGATGGCTGCTTGATGGAGGATGTTCGGTCCAAGCTCGAAGGTACAGCCAGGTGCAGCAGTGTCGTTGGCTACGATTGATGCGATGTGGCTCCGGCCGCTTGGCAGTATCGATGGCCTCCTCCCCCTCCCTCTCTCCCTCCCTTCCCCTTTCTCCCTCCTTCTACCCCCCCCCCCCTCTTTCTTCCCCGCCCCGTTCCAACAGTGTTCTCAAACGGCTGGCAGCGGCACCCCCCGCCCACGCTGACACGGCCTCCACCACCACCAACCTCCGCACACCGGCATCAGCACTCCACTCCCACACTTGGTTGCTCCTCACCTCCCTCCCCCCCCCCCCCCCCCCATCCCCATCCACATCCCCTCTGCCACACGTTCCGCAACCACGTCCACCATTGCCCGTTGTTGTTCATCTCGCGGAAAGGTTGGAATGGCCGACTCCGCGAGCGGCCAGCGAGTCCGTCAGTCGAGCAAGGCACGGAGCGGTTGCAGCAAGGCAAAGTGCAAGACTCCAGCGCATGGCCTTGCTCGCTACTGCCCGAAACATGCTGGATCGGCTCGCTCGTTCATCACCACAGAAGTCCGTGATGCCCTTCGCTCGGTTGAGTTTGACATGTGGCGGTATTCGAAGGAGGTAGGTCCTGGGGAGGCAACGGAGGTTGTCGAGGAGGAGATGGCGAATATGGAGGAGTAGATGGGGAGGGGAAGGGGGGGGGGGGTGGTGGTGGCGAATATGGAGGAGTAGATGGAGGAAGTGGAGAATGTCGAGGAGATGGAGAGACAGATCAGATCAGAGGGAGATATCGATCAAGGGGGGGGGGGGGCTCGACCTGCCCTCCCCACTGCGCCCAGACTCATATCATACACTGTTGTTGCAGGAGCTGGTGTACTTGTTCGAGGCCATGTTTGAAGACACAGGCCTGGTGTACGCGTTCTCGTTGGAGGAAGACGTCCTGCTTGCGTTTCTCAACGCAGTCAAGGCCAACTACAACGACAATCCGTTCCACAATCTGTACCACTCGTTCTGCGTGACGCAGATGGTGTTTACGGTGCTGATGGCGTGCAACGAGTTGCCCGAGTTCCTTGACGAATGGGAGCGGCTGGCGCTCATGGTCTCTGCAGTGTGTCACGACCTGGACCACGACGGAGTCAACAACTCTTTCCACATCAACTCCAAGTCCGAGCTTGCGGTCATCTACAATGACCAGTCATGTCTGGAGAACCACCACTGCTCGCAAGCCTTTCGCATCCTGCACCGCCCGCCGTCGAACCTGCTCAGCGGCTACTCCGAGGACGAGTACAAGAAGTTCCGCAAGCTGGTCATCGGCTGCGTGCTTTCCACCGACATGGGTCGCCACTTTGACATCCTCGGGCGGTTCGACAAGCTCATCGCGCCGCTGCGGGCGGCCGGGGCGTCGCTGACCGACGTCTCGGCCGCGCAGTCGGTCGACACCGACGCACCGACCTTTGACTTTGGTGACGCCGGCCACCGGGCCCTTCTGGCCCAGATTGTCCTCATGTGTTGCGACATCTCCAATGAGGTCCGCCCTTTCTCGGTCTCGCGCATCTGGGCCGACAGGCTGGTTGAGGAGTTTGGAAACCAGGTCGACCGCGAGAAGGCCATGGGCCTTCCATTCCTGCCGTTTATGGACCGCGACCAGGTTGTCCTTGAAAAGTCGCAGATCGGCTTCATCGCCTTTCTCCTCCGCCCGCTCTGGGTCTCGGCCTCGGTCCTCCTCCCGCCGCTCGGTGCCTACGTCGACGCCATCGACGAAAACTACCAGCAGTGGTCGGTCGTCGTCCAGCGCAACGCTTCGAACGAGATGCTGCGTCTCCTCTCCAACCTGCATCCCGAGTTTGAGGAGCAGACCGTCGACGCAGGAACCGTTCTCTGCCGCAAGGACGAGGATTCTGACGAGCTGTTCTTTGTTCATGAGGGCGATGTCTGCGTTGTCGACGAGCAGTTTGACCGCGTCCTCAACACTTTTACCACCGGCTGCTTCTTTGGCGAGATCGCCGTGCTCAAAGGCATTCCGCGGACCGCAAACGTTGTCGCCAAGACAGAAGCCCGCATCCACGTCGCCTCTAAGGACATGGTCCTCGCCCTCCTCGACGACCACCCCGACTTTCGCAAGACCCTCGAGCAGGTCGCCACCATCCGCGAGGGTGTCATCCACCGCAACGCCGCAAAGGGTCTGCAGTCCATTGGCCTTGGCCTCATCGACCATGACCAGCTTGTTCACATGGGCGGTGGGTGATACCTCCCACCCGCACCTTGCCTCGGCTTTGCTGCCCTTGCCTGGTGTAATGATAAAGCCTTCTCGCCTGCACCTGCACTCATCGCCACCGTCTCGCGTGCCAATTGCCATCGGCGTGTAAGCTCGACCAACAGCAGAGGGGGGGGGCGGGCCGCAGCGCAAACTATCTCCAACCGAGTCGAAACGGGTTTGTCACTCGGTCGACAGCAGAACGATCAAAGGCGAGAGGTAAGCGTGACAAATACAAGTTAGTATACTCATCTCCGAAGTACGTCAAAGATGTCGACCCCCCCCTGACAATGTGCCTACCTTCCCCCCCGCCTTTACACCTCTATGCTCTTGCTCTCTTTGTCCTTGGTGCTTGCACTGGGCTTGGTGTGGCATGGCTTTGGCTAGGGTGGTGGTGGTGAGCGTTTGACGGTCATCAAAGTGGGAACAATCACAGAGCGTTTATCGAGGTATTTCCCTCGCTCATACACACACACCAACTCACCTCCTCCTTCTACCGACACAGACACCATGCGTGGCAAGGTATGCTCTCTACACTAGCCGGCTTTGTTGCTCTTTACTACCCCCTGCTGCTCTTAGGCGTCGCCTCTGTCGTAGGGCATTCCCCCCGTTGCCGCATTCCTATTTTTTAGTCATTTGGTTTGTATGACTTTGTCCTGGTCTCATCCTCGTCGTCATACCAACAGCCGCTCCTTTCCTTCTCACCTCTGCGGGCCCTCCTGCACTCCATCTCTATGCCTGGGCACATTCCAACTACATTGGCATGGGCCTTTGCTTGGCTCGTCCCCCCGACCGAGTCTTGGTCTTGGACCCGGCTATGAGCGCAGTTGTGCGGCGGACGCAAGTACCCCCCCTTCTCCTCCCCCTCTCCCCCCCCCCTTCCTGACCATCCACTCACCCTCTTGTGCTCGTCTCTTTCTCGACAACAGTGGAAGAAGAAGCGCCAGCGCCGTCTCAAGCGCAAGCGCCGGAAGATGCGCAAGCGCGCGAAGTAAGCGCAAGGCCCCAAGCAGGCCTTGGACGTGGGCTCCGCCCGTATGCTCCGCCGCCTTTTGATTGTGCGTGCACCGTCGTGCTGCCTTGCATACCCCGTTCTCCCTCCCCGGCAATACACCCGCGCCCAGCACAATCCCCCGCGTGACAGCCTCCCCCTTCCCCCCCCCTCCCCACACACACACACATCAAGGCACCCACCGCCCCAATGCCACACTTGGCCACCACCCCGCCACTCCTGCCAACCCCACTCGCTCGCCACTGCACGCCCACGCCTCCCACACTCCCCGGCTGCCCAACCACAAACGCACCTCTCCTTCGCCCCGTCCCACCCCGACGCCACTCCCCCCACCTCCCCCCACTCTACCCATGGAGGTAGAAGGAGCGCATGTCGCGCGCATCAGCTCAACCCAAGCCACCATATGCTGGCAACTGCATCCATCTGCAAGCCAGTATGTCTTCGTCTCTTCCCCACATGGCTCCCTCCCCCCCCCCCCCCCCTCCCTCCTGCCTCCCCACGCCGTGCCGGGTCATGCTCCCCGCAGAACACCCGCTCCTCCTCCCCTCCCCCTCCCCTCCCACCCACCCACTAACCCCCACCCCCCCCCCCTCCCACACCACACCACCCACGCAGGTACAAGGTGGAATACACAGTGGTGGGGACGGAAATCTCGTTGGTGCAGAGGACGACGGAGAACAAGGTCGAGCTGACCACGCTCTCGCCGGGAACGCGATACCGGGTGTTCATCTTGGCTGCCAGTGGGGAGACCTGGCCTGTCTCGTCGACTCCGACTCGCTCCATCGAGTTTACCACTACAGCTGTCGCTGCTGGCTCGGCAGAGCTGCCAAGGGCCCTAGCGTGTACTAATGTTGACGTCTCAGAGCTGGAGCCGCCGCTGTGGCCGGTTGATGGCAAACATGGCGTGGCCGATGTGAGCCACGACTCGGCTCTCATCCGGTGGCAGCCTGGGTGTGGCGACGAGGCTGGGTTTGAGCTCCAGCTGGTCCCGCTGGGTAGGCCGGATCTGGCGTCGATTGCATCGCTGGCCGGCATCGGCGGCAGCATTGCGCCCGAGGCCGAGTCGTGGCCGCCAGAGGAGACACGGCTGACCTCCGGGTGCTCGTTGACGGTCTCAGGCTTGCGACCGGAGACCCAGTACTCTGTCTGCGTTTGCGCCGTCAATGAGATGGGCGAGCGCGGGCCGAGCTCTACCGAGCTGGAGTTTGCCACCAAGGCGATGCCGCTGGCGGAAAAGGTGGCCAAGCGGTCGGCGATGGAGCTTGCGCTCCGTAGCGACATGGTCGACGGCCCACAGGCGGCAGAGCGGGCGGCAGGCGGAGGTGATGGGCCGGTGCGGCCGGTCTCGGTCTCCAAGCAGCAGTATCTTCAGGCGCGGCGTCTTGCGTCGCCGCCAGTTTCTCCCAAGAGCTCGACGGCTCCGCCGCCGGCCTCTGTGGCGGTGGCAGAGAGCATGACCGGCTCAGTGGAGGGACTGACGCTGGTGGATACGGCCAAAACGTCGCTCTCGTTTACCTGGGCTCCGCTTGCTGGTGCGAGCCAGTACGCACTGCAGTGGTCGCTTGCCAACACTGACATCGAGGGCGAGGACGTGGTGAGCGAGACGCATCACACGCTGCGGCGCCTGGCGTCGGGCTGCGAGTTCCGGGTCCGTGTTGTGGGCATCGACCGTTCCGGGGTGCGGTCGTTGGCGTCGCGAGACCTTGTTGTTCGCACCTCGGGCGTGGTCTCGCGGGTAGAGGACCGCGTCCGTGGACGGACGCTCTCGGCCGGCGGCTCGTCAACGGCATCGCTGGCACCCGAGACCCGGCTCTCGCACGGCCTTTGCACGGCCGGCTCCAAGGGCAAGACGCGGTTCTTCCAGCTGTGGTCCGAGTGCAAGAGCTGCAAACGCAAGGTGTGCAACTCGTGCGCGGACGGATGCCACGCCGGCCATGACGTCGTGCACGGGACCACATTTCTGGCCTTCATCTGCGGCTGCGGCTCCGACTGCGATCTCCGAGCGCACCGCGACGAGTAACCAGCGATGGCTCTGCGCTTGTCACGAAACAACACACCTGCGCTTGCGCTTGCTCACCGACGCACGGATAGATGCGAGAATGGCCTGGTTCCGCTCGCACTCGTGATCAAACTCCAGTCTGTGCTTGACGCAGAAGCCGCGATGACAGAGCGGACAGACGACGGGATCGGACGACTTCTTCTTGCATCCGTCCTTGGCACAGGCGATGACCTTTGGGCGAAAGCCCTCATCAGGTGGACAGCCACGATCAATGTGGCCATCAATGACCTCATCAGCATCACCGGCACGATCTAAAGGAAAGACAGCTGAGCAGATGGGACACATGGCGGCAACTCGGTTCGGAACGTCATTGGTCTGCGGACACTCGTGCTGTCGCGGATGAGCATGCTTGACACAGAAGGCCTCGTCACACCCAGGGCAGACAAAGGGGAGAAAGTCCAGTTGCTTGCATGTCTTCAACGCACACTGGATGCCCAAGTCCGGGAACTCCATCCGCCCCGCCTGTCCTCCTGCGTCAAGTCTGCCTCAAACCGTACCCCACCGTACCGCCAACCCGAGCCACCACCCTCTCCGCCAATGTCGCCGCCATTGCCATAGCCGGGTCTCGACCAGCACACACCGCAACCACATGATCAGCCTGATGGACATCGATCATAGTCTGCTCCAATCTGCTACCCCCCCCCCCCCCTCCTCCCCCCTTTGCCGAGAGATCAAGCCATGCCAAGAACCCACCCCGGTAGTCAGCCTAGTCTTGAGAGGCATGGCTGGCGGGTGGCTGGCGGGTGGCTGGCGAGGGTGGCTGGCGGGTGGCTGGCGGGTGGCTGGCGGGTGATGGGCTGCCTGTTGCCCCGGAGCCACCCGAGGGAGAGACCTGGTCTGCAGGCTCTCCACACCGCACTGCCTGCCATGGCGGGCATGCTACGGTCGCAGGTGCATCTCCACCGTGCCTCCCATCATGCTACAGACCTACAGAACCTCATGTATGTGTAACTCTTTGGGCGGGGGGGGGGGGGGGGGAAGAGAGAGAGAGAGAGAGAGGGACCTGTGCTGGCGGGTGGGTGGGCGTGGGTGGGCGTGGGGGCGTGGGCGAGTGCGACGAGGACGAGGGAGTGGGCGGGACGGGGTGTGCTCCGCTGGCTGGGACAAGGCAAGGGACTCACGGTGGAGAGACGACGGGATGGCTGGCTGGTGTTTGATGGACGGATGGCCGTTTCGATGGCGATGGCGATGGCGATGGCGATGGCGATGGCGATGGCGACGGCGATGGCGATGGCGATGGCGATGGCGATGGCTATCATCGGACGGACGGCCGGCTTTGGACCGATGGACTGTCTCTTGGTACACCTCCGATCGCTCAACTGGGTCGGACCACACAGGGGCGAAGAAGACGAGCTATGGCGCGCCCTCAAGCTCGGCAACGCACATCGGGTCCAGCGCCTCCTCTCGTCGGAGCGGACCGTGGCCGTGCTCGGGTTACGCGGCGCTGTGGGCGAGACCATCCTCTGCTGGACTGTCCTCCACATGTACCCGCGCTGCTCGCCGGACCATCGCACCTTTGTCCTCAACCTCATCGCAGCCTACCCCGAGCTGGTGGCCGAGCCATACTCGGGCGATTTGTACAAGGGCGAGACGCTGCTGCACCTCGCTGCTGTTCACGGCGACCTCGAACTCGTTCGTATCCTTGTGGAGCAGTACAATGCTGACTTTGCCAGTGCACGCGCCACAGGCTCGTTCTTTGCCCGCCGCGGCCGCGTATACTTTGGCGAGACCGTACTCAACTTTGCCGTCTCCCGCGGCTTCTACGACGTGGTTGAGTACCTGCTGCAGGCCGGCGCCGACCCCAACGCCTCGGACACCCACGAGAACACCCCGCTCCACTTTGCGGTCATCCACAACCAGCCGCGCATCTACCATCTGCTCCTCTCGTACCACGCCGACCCCACGTATCTCAACCGTGATCTCTACTCGCCGCTCACGCTCTCCATCAAGTACCACCGCCCAGTTATGTTTGACGAGATCCTCTCGTCTACCACCCAGATCAACTGGCGCTGGGCAGGCATCTCCAACGTCACCTACCCGCTCATCGAGTGGGAGGACCCGCTCCCGCTCTCGCTCACGACCACATCCACCTCGTCCGCCGCCCTCGCCGCCATCACATGCTGCCCAACTTGAGCGGCGCCGCTAGCGATCCGGCGGCGTCGCCACTCCACGATTCCGTGCACTCCAAGCACGGCCGAAGCTCGGGTGGTGGCAAGAGCCACAATCACCGGCACCACCGCCACCGCCGCCACCAATATTCCAAGTCGCGCAGAGGCACGAACCCGCTCGACGCCACCTTGACAGGCGCGTCGTTCGTCGACACTGTTGGGCCCGCCACCAAGGCCGCGACTGCCGGCCTCAAGCTTCAGCCCAAGCGCTCGCTTCGTTTTCCGGATCCAGTCTCGCCGTCCGGCGCCGCTGATCATGTATTTCCACCATCAGTCAAGTTTACCGTCACCACCGACGAGCAGCAAGAGTCCGACTCTGAGTATGATACACTGGAAACCGACTCGGACGTCACCGACCCACACCTGTTCATCTCGAACTCGCGCACCCCGTCATCATCGCGCTCATCAGCCTCGTCGGCTACTCTGCCGGCCATCAATGGCGGTTCGATCTCGGACGAGCCGCGCCGTTCGCAGCCATCCAACCCTCCCACTCGCTCTCGCTCTCGCTCTCGCTCTCCCCCTCAGCTGTTCACACCTCGGCCGAGCCTTCGGCCCGGTCGTCTAACCGCTCGCGTGGGGCTGTTTCGTCGCCGTCTGAGCTCCCATCCCCTCGCGCCGACGGCGGTGGACATGCATACCCACCGCTTCTGCGCCTGCCCGAGGTTCCCGACCCGCTCCACCATCGCGCGCTCCTCTCCGACCGCTCCGGCAATGCCTCTATCGGTAGCGCCATTTCGGGTGCATCCTCGACAGCCGACTCTCCGCTGCGCCCGAGCGAGGTCTCGGCCGCGTCTTCCATCCCGCCGTCGACGGCGCTTGGTGGCTCGCTTCGCCGCTCATCCATTTCACAAGCCAAGCCACCGTCGGCCGCCACGCTGGCGCCGCCGGGCGGTACGCCATCGCCACCACGCGCTTCGCCTGCTGCCAGCGCTAGCAAGACACAGGCCAAGCCGGGCAAGAAGAAGCCATCGCCGTGGGCCAAGGTCCGGTCGTTTGTCAAGTCGCGGACCGCCAATCTGACCCAGGGCCTCGACGGCCGCCGCGGTCGCGGCCGAGTGACCAAGACCACGTACAAGCCGTCGCCGGCCTCGCTCGAGCTCCTTCGCCAGCGCCAGCCACGCGACCGCAAGGTCCTTCCACTTCTCATCCACTTTGGCCGCGACGATATGGTCTTTCATCCGGTCACCATGCAGATCCTACAGCTCAAGTGGTATCGGTTCGGGCGCATCCGCTTCTTCAAGTCGCTCTGCGCCGATCTCATGTTTCTCATTCTCTTCACCATCCAGGTCGGCCTCTTCCCGGGCAAGCTGAGTGGAGGCTACTTTGAGGCCTCGTCGTCAGCTGCCCGCTTCCGCATAGCTCTCGAGTTTATCAACCTCCTCATTTGTATCTGCTTCATCGCCCTCGAGGTACGAGAAGGACTGTCGTCGACGCAGCCGCTGCGCGACGTTCTCATCTCCTCACTGACCTCGACGCAGGTCCTCCACTCGCTCTTCCTCCTCCTCATCCCATCAGCGTTTGTGGCCCGACTCTCCGGCGCCGAAGTTGTTGAGCGCTGCATCCTCGCCGCCGCCATCATAGCGGGCTGGTGCTCGCTGCTCTACTACGCCCGCGGCTTGCAGAGTCTCGGGCCACTGGTCATCACCATCTGGAACGTGCTCGTCCGCGACCTTGTGCGGTTCTCGGCCATCTTTGTCATCTTTGCCGTCGCCTTTGCGCAGGCGCTCCACGTGTGTGTCAAGTTTCGCGACGTCGAGGGCTACGATTGGTGGCTCACTGCGCTCATTGAGGTTTTTGCCGCCGGCACCGGCGTCAACGACTTTGACTATAAGGACCTCGGGCCGACCGTTCGCGACGGCGGCTATGTCATGGCTGTCCTCGTCTTTATTGTCTTTGACGTTGTGGTCATTGTACTCATGCTCAACATGCTAATCGCCATGATGAACAACACATACCAGGACATTGCCGACAACGCGCAGCGCCAGTGGGCGCTCCAGTGGGCGTCGATTATCCTCGACGCCGAACGCAAGCTCGACATCCGCGAGCGGGTCCGGCTTCAGATCGGAACTGTCGACAAGTACGGCGTTCGCGGCTACACAGTCATGCTCCCGTTCTCGGCTGCCACGGTGGCACTCTGGGATGGCTTTGTTGCCCAGCTCCGCGACACCCTACTCCGCCGGCCGCTGCACGACATTGTCCCGCCAGACCCGCCCATTCCCGCCAACATGCCCAACCAAACCGGAAACAAGTTCTCGCTCTATGGCGCTTCGCACGACGAGCCGGCACTCGTACGCCAGGCCTCGGTCTCGTCTCACGATCTCACCGTCTCGCTCCGCGCGCCATCGGGAGCCTCGCTCGGCTTCTCGTCGGCCGAGCCACCGCTGGTCACGCCAGTCGTCCCGCCGCCGCCTCCGATGACGCCGCACCGCCCGACGGTCCGTGCCTCGGACGAGTACATGCGCAAGTACCGCGCCCGAGCGCTCTCGATCTCGCAGCTCCTCGAGCCGAGCTAGGATGCCGAGCGCCGCTGAGCAAACGAGGCTAGCTTTACTCACTTGCGCACAATCTGCACAATGTCTTCGTCCTCCAGAACGTGGCTCAGGCCGCACCGCTGCGGGTTGTGCTGCACAGACTTGCCCCACACCCACGCGTACTTGAACGACTTGACAAAGTCCTTGTGGATGCGGCGGCAAAAGTCCTCCACGCTCCGGCGCTCGCCGCGGAGCACCACCGGCTCGTTGTAGTCCGGAAGCTGGCCCTTGGGCTTGGTATAGACCCGAGTCACGCTCAGCTTCTCCCACACCCGCTCCAACAGCTCGTCCAGGCCCCACTCGTGGTCGGCGCAGACCGGGACGGCGTCGGGCATGTGTTCGGTGATGACGTCGAGCTCCTCGATGAACAGCCCGTCGACCTTGTTGAGCACGTACAGCGCCGGAATGTACACCCGGTTGCCCTCAATGACGTCGATGAGATCCTCGGCGTTGGCCGCAGAACGCACCGTGATCGACGCGTTGTTGATCTTGTACTCCTTGCAGATCGCGTGCGCCGTCTCCGCGTCGAGCGTCGCGTTCGAGTTCATGCATGTAAAGTTGAGTCCGCCGCGCTCGCGCTTGACAAACGAAATGTCCGGCGGCGTCTTGTTGAGCCGGATGCCAAAGCCCGAAAGCTCGTTCTCGATGATGTTCTTGATCTGTGACCCCCCTCCATGCCCCCATAACTTTGTGAGTCGTACCCTCCAACTCCCCTCGCCACCCTTCCAATCCCCCTCCCTCCTCCCCCCCTCTCCGGAAGAACTTACCGTCAGCGGCTTCATGGCGTCGAGGACAATGAGAATAAGGTCACAGGTCCGGCCAGTGGAGATGACCTGGCGCCCACGGCCCTTGCCATCCTTTGCGCCCTCGATGATACCCGGCAGATCAACGAGCTGAATGCGAGTGCCATGGACCACGACGGTACCAGGGACAGCAGTGAGGGTGGTAAACTCATAAGCACCGACAGCCGACTCTGTCTCTGTCAGCTTTGAGAGCAGAGTCGACTTTCCCACCGAGGGGAAGCCGATCATACCCACACGTGCATCTCCCGACTTGGTCACATCAAATCCATCACCAGCTCCCTTGGACGACGACTTTGGCAGCAACAGCTCCGACTTGAGCTTGGCCAGCTTGGCCTTGAGCAGTCCCAGATGCTTGGCCGTTGCCTTGTTCTTCTGCGTCCTCGCCATCTGTATACCATACCCCCCCACACACAAACAACCCCCTCCCACAAAACCATGAGTCCCTCCCTCCCTTGCCCATGCCCTTCATGTCCGACACGAACACGACACGGCTTCCATCTCCCTCCCTCCCTCCCCCCCCCCTCCCTCCCCCCTCCCCCTACCACCCCCACCCCCACCCTCCCCCCTTCACCCCCTTGCACATACCTCATTCTCAATCTCCGCAATCTTGTCCAAGATGGTCGACATGGTTGCTCGTCTCTCCCCCCCCTACGAGTGTGGTGGGAGACGGTGGCGTCGCTGCCGGACGGCGCCCCCTTTGGTCGCTCCTGGTTTTGCTCGCCATAACAGAGTTCGGTCGCCCGTTCGATGGTTCGGCATGCTGGTTGGTGGGCGACTGGCTCGGCGCGGGGTAGTGAAAGGAGATGGGCGGAGGGTAGGGGGGGGGGGGGGGGGGGGTAGGTGTGGATGAAGTTGCCGTCTACACATATGGGTTTGTGTGGGAGGTGGTGATCGTGGAGGAGCGGTGTTCATTGGGAACAGGTTGATCTTGGGTGTCCGACACGACGCATCACAGACCGGACGCTGGCTAGGTACAGATGCTTGTGTGTGCGTGGGGGGGGGGGGGGGGGGGGCATGACGCCAAGATGATCGTTCCCAGCGTCTACACCGGGCACAACCGCCTGTGGCCAAGAGGAAAGACCATCACGGTGGCGGATACGTCATCGTGCCAAGGATCGCAGGCCGCCTCGCCCCGGTTGCCGACGGCACATTCGATGGTAGCAAATGAAGGCTGGCGTAGCCGAGAATGGCAAAACCAATGGCCTCCTTGGCAGACGCAAAGTCGGCACAGCCCGTGTGCTGCGAGACGTCATCGACGTGGACCGCGGCCCAGCCGATCGAGCCGAGCTCGGCCGCAGCCTCGCTTGCAATCATGGACATCAGGCTAGCGTTGTGGACGCCACCGCCCGAGCAGATGAGCCGGAGGACAGGGCCACCGGCGGCAAAGCCCGGAACGTCACGACTCGCTGCCGCCACGCTCTGTACCAGCGATCGCGCCGAGAGTAGCGTCGCTGTCGCCACCAGATCGGCCACCACATTTGCAGACTCGGCGTCACAGCCCGTCGCTCGTTCAAACGCAGGCTTGAGCACCTCGTTGAGAAAGGCTGCTCCAAATAGCTCACGGCCGGTCGCCTTGGGCGGAGCCGCCGCAAAGAACGGCTCGGCAGCGAGCACGGCGTCCACGGCCTCGCTCGACGGCGTCCCACAAGCCGCAATCGCCCCGCCTTCGTCGCATACCCCGAGTTCGGCGGCGCGGACGAGCTCGTCCACCAGCATGTTTGCCGGCCCGGTGTCGTAGGCCAGTAGCAGATCAGCGGACCGCGGTGACACCAGACTGACGTTGGCAATGCCACCCAAGTTGACCAGGACTCGCGCCTCCAGCCCCTCGACGTCACGAAAGAGTACTGCGTCCACAAACGGAATCAACGGCGCGCCGGCGCCGCCGACCGCCATGTCGGCTTGCCGAAAGTCGGCTATGACCGGGAGGCCCGTCGCCACCGCGATTCGTGCCGGCTCGCCAATCTGTAGCGTGGAAACAGCATCGGCAAGCTCGTCCACTTGGTCCACCCGCTCTGGGTAGTGGAAGATGGTCTGGCCGTGCGAGGCGACGAGCGCCACTCGGCTGCCCGTGTCCTCGTTGACAGCAGCGAGAAGCTCGACCGCAGCTCGGGCAAAGGCCTCACCCACGGCCGCATTCGCGCGGCACACCGCACCAACCACCTCGAGCGCACGTTGTGCGCCACCTTCTACCAGCCCGCGCAGCGCTTGCAGCGTCTCAGCAGCATACGGTGTCTCCGAGTACGCCACCAGTCGGACGTGGCTCGCGCCCAGCGGCGAAAGCGGCGCAGGTGGCCGGGCCAATGGCAGCCACTTGCTGCCGCGGACATCATCCACCTCGTCATCCACGGCTCTACCCTCCAGCTTGGCAAACTCCACAATTGCGCAGTCGATTCCATCCATCGACGTCCCAGACATCATGCCCATGACAAACATCCTGTTGCCGTCATCGTTTGTGGCCATGATGTATCCCTCTCGTGTTGCTGCAAGCACGCGAGAGAGGTGGACAAATTGCCGACAATACTGCCGTGGCGGAGCCGCTTTACAACATGCCTACCGACCTGCCTATGCTTGCTGCTGGAGCAACCGCTCCAGGATCTCCACTGCGCTCTCGACCACTCTCCCGCCGCTGATGATGCGGAGCGCATGGCGAAAGTCCTCGGCGCTAAAGTCGAGCGACGCGTCCGAGACTGTCGACAGGAACTTCTTGATCGAGAGCTTGAGGAGCTCAAAGTACGACCGTGCTCGCTCGTAGTGAACTTCGTCCACAGCCACCAGCGAGGAGAGTGTCTGCTGCAGTGCCACCACGTTGCGCTCGAGCTTGCCGATGCCGGCTGTCGAGACCTGCGTCACAAACGCCATCGAGCCGACCAGAATGCGACCCTGGACGGCCTCTACTCCGCCAAACACGTAGCTCACCTTGCTCACCGACATGTACGCCGCCAGCTCGGTCGCCATCGCCGTCAGCTCCTTGTTCAGCTCTACCACAAACGCGTCAGGCTGCGTGGCCAGCGACGCCTCCTCGTACCGCACCTCACGGATCGACTGCAGGTGGTGGTAGCACCGGACACGGACCTCTAGCCGAAGCGCAAACACAACCTTTTCCGAGAGCGCCCGCAGCTTGTCAGAGAGCGCCGCAAGGTTAGTTGCCAACGCCTGCGAACGCACAAGATGTGCTGCTCCCGCCAGTGCAACCGCCAGCCCAGCCCGCGAACAGCACCGCGCCTCCCGGTCGCGCGACACCACTCCCGACCGTCCCGCGCCGCCACCTGCGGCGTTCGGCATCTCTCTGCAAAGCCATGCCCGCAGCGGCCGTGTCACTCCCGCCAGCCGCGACGCTCCGCGCCGCCGCACGCTGCGCTCCTCGACCTCACTTGCGCGCGCATGCATAGAGCAGAGCATGACCGAGTGCGGCGGGTCGTACGCCGTCTCCACAGCTGCAGAGCCGGCCCCGTATCCGAGCGCATCGATTCGTCCCGCCAGCCATTCGGTCGAGTCACAGAGCGCCGCGAGGAGTGGGATGACGCCTTCGCCGCCTAGCAGAGCTGCCTTACCCGGCGGACTTTCAAGCAGGCGGTCCATCAGCGCGAGCTCTTCCTGCACAAACGCGCGCGAACTCTTGGCCCGCTCGCCAGCGCGCGCCTGTCCTGCATCGCTCGCCGCGCCTCGTGGCCGCTGCGGGTCGGCCACTAGCCACCCGGCATCGGCCAGCCGCAGCCCTGCGTCGACCCACACCGTCCGGCCCAACCGATCGTCCCACGCCCCAGACGCACCGTGCACCGCCACACTCTGCGCTTGCACGCGCCGCCACCCCGGATCGGCCGTCAAGTGCGCCACGAGCTCACGCATACACAGAAGCTCTTCCACCGCCGTCTCCGACACTGTCTCGGCAAACCGGATCTGACAACGCTCCCAGTACTGCAGCACGATGCTCTCCATGATCTGTGCCACTCGTCCAGCATGATGCGGCAGCGCCATCGCAATCTGATTGAGCTCCAGCAGCAGCGCATGCACCCCGAGGCTCGACACAAGTAGCGGCCGCCGCGGCGATGACCGATCGTACCGCGGCCGTGGCTCGCGTCCCCGCGGCGTGAACGCGTCTGGTCCGTCCATCACCGCACATGCCCGCGCCTCGTAGTCAGCTGCCACACGCTCGAGCATCTCGTTCTCAACAAAGTGGTAGAGAAACTGAAACATGTGACTCTGTGCCGCCCGGCTGCCCGGCATGGCAAGACCGCTCAGCAATTTGCCTCCGCTGCTCGCCGCACCACTCGCCTCGCCGCCAGCGCTTGTGGACTGACCTGCCCGCCACATCGTGTGGAGCTTGACACATCCGTCCAGCATTCCCGCCGCGGTGAGCTGCTCCACGTCGTCGTCCGCCCGCACCACTGCTGCCTGCATCGCCTCTGGCACTGAGCTCAGTTCGAGCACATAGACGTGCGAGCTCTCGCTGCGGGGCGCAGGAGCGGCGCCGTTGCCAAGCTCCGAGAGCCCCGACTCGGTGCAACAAGCTTCCAGCAGCTCCATCACCGGAACGTACATCCCGACCACGTTGTACGCCGATGGTGCTACAAGGAGCTCTGGCCCGGCCCTGGCCTCGCTGCTGCCAGTTCCGTCGTCGTACAGGGTGCTTTCAAACTTGAACAGTTCCTTGTCGGCCGCCAGCAAACCCGGCGCCAGCGACTGGCGACGGCGGCGGAGCCATCCCGAGCCGCGGGCCGCGACAGTCGCGGCCCGTTCCGCGCTGCGGACCGCCTTGCCACCGCCATCATCACCGTCGTCACTGTCACCCGACACTTGTGCGTCGAGCAGCTTGATGGCCGACTTGGGCAGCCCGAGGTAGTCACAGAGCAGGAGCTCGAGCTCGAGCTGCATCGCCGCCCACACGTCGCTGAGCGTAAAAAGAGCCGAGTAGCCCGGAATGGCCGAGGTGAGCACGTCGAGCTTGACCACAGTAGTCTCGGCATCGACCGTGGCAACTGCAACCGGCCGGACTAGCGAAGCCTCGCCCTCGGCCCGGACCAGCCAGCCGCGGACCAGCGCCTCCTCGAGCGCGTGGAGAAGAAAGTCGAACCTCGCCAGCAGCGTCCGGAACCGTCGGGCTATCATGCCAATAAGCACCTGCAGCGGGATTCGAGTCGCAAACACTCCGCCGGCCTCCAGCACTGTTCCCGGAGCGTCACTGCTCGACTCGCACCTGCTTCCGCCACACACCTTGGCCACTTCGACCACGCCTGCACCCACAATCCGCTTGAGCTCGCCATGCAGCGTCGAGCCGAGGAGCTTGAGCGCGCTCGACAGCGACTCGAGCTCGGCAAGTGCGCCCACAAGATCGGCCATGCGCTCGGCAGGCTCGGCATCGTCACTGCCAGCTGCCATGGGGACCGAGTGCAGGTAGAGCACGTCGATGAGCTCACCTGTAAGCAGCGTGTAGTACTCGGTCCGCTTGTCAAAGAGCGTGCGCATGACCTCGTTGAGCGCCCCGACGTTCTGCAAGTCCTCAGAGCACATGTCGGCGATGGCCGCGTTGAGCGTCCGCACCGCAGCGCGGTACTCACCCGCGGCAATGTGCGCGTCAAGCGTGGCCGGCACTGCCACCATGGCCTGGACGAGCTTAAGAATGCGGAGCTCCTCCTTGTGCTGCAGCGTCGATGCATAGAGTCGCTTGACATTGCGCGTGCGGAGGGCGAGGAGCGACTTCATCGACTGCAGCGAGTCCTTGAGCGCCACCACCGAGTCCTGCGCCGTCGCCACCGACGACGCAACCTTGCCAAAGTTGGCAATCGAGGTGTTGAGCGGCTCGTCGTATCGCTTGACCACAATGCTCATGATCTTGTCAAACATGGCATCCCACGACTCGAGCTTGGCATACCGCTCGGCGTCTTGGTTCTTGATGATGTCGATGACAATTGGGAGCGCGTTAAAGTCGTCGACCCGAAACTCGGGCGAGACGGTGGCAAGGACTTGCGCAAACATGGCCAGCTCGCCCTTCAGCTCGGAGACCGAGTCCAGCTGCTGCATAAGTGCCTGCTCCGACGCATTCTCGTTGACATCAGCCGTCTTCACAAATGCAAACAGCTCGTTGTCGCCACCACGACTGCCACTGCGCCCTGTTCCACCTCGATGGCGACGATGGCGCTTTCGCCGCCCACGCCGCCCGCCCTTGCCACCTGTACCGTTGCTGGCACTGCTGCCGTTGACAGAAGACGACGAGTCTCTCTTGAGCGTGCTCGTCGTGCCATCATCAGTGACGACGGACGTGGGCGCGAGCTCAGGCGTGGGTCTCGGGTCAAGATCAACCGCGGGCGGCGGCGTGATACGGGCGGTAGGCTCAGGGGCCGGCGGCGGATCGTCCGACACCTCTCCACCCTCAAGCGCAATGGCCTCTTCGATGAGCGCCAGCGCAGCCTCGGCCTCGTCTCTCCGGCGGGCGCTTGCTGCCGAGGCGCGGGCCAGCGAAAGCGGAGTGGCCTCGTCCTCATCGCGGATGTTGGGCGCAGCGCCGGCGTCGAGGAGCAGCTCCACGAGATCAGCATGCAGCAGACGCGCAGCATAGTGCAACGCCGTCGCACCGTACTCATCACGAGCATCCAGCACCGAGTCCGCACCGCGCGTGCCCAACAAGGTCATGGCAGCACGCACATCGCCCGACTGAGCCGCCACATGCAGAGCGGTCTCGAGAGTGACCGGATTGCGAACAGTGACATCAGCGCGATACGTCTCGAGCAACAGCGATATAACCGATTCGGACCCCGCCCGTACAGCAGCATGTAGCGGAGTGTTGGCTAGCGGATCCAGCAGTGTGTTGACATTGAGGCCATGGTCGTCGATGGCCTCCTCCACCCCCTCCTCATCGCCAGCTTCAATGGCCTCAAACAGCTCGTCTGCCCCACTCATACCGGCCACTTCCCCAGCAATACCTCAAACTACGAGTCGCGTGTGTGTGTGCGTGTGTGTGTGTGTGTGTGTACGTGTGTAGGGGTGGGGAGGAGAGAGGCCGTGGGCCTGAAGCTCGGTGCTGCGGTGGGGTGGGTGTGGTGAGGGGTGCGGACCGAGCGTGTGTCCGGTTGGACGGCCGGGGGACGACGAGGCGGGCCGGGCAGGGTGCGACTTGGGACGGGTGGCTTGACGGTCGGGCGTGCGTGAGGGATGGGCCATGTTTTATGCGATGGATCACCGCCGCCGCCGACGACGGCGCTTGGACCGGGCCTTGGCGCGCTGGACAAGCGACTTGATGTCGTTACCGTCATTCGCTGGCTCAGTCTTGGTGGCCGTGGTGCCGCCGGCGCGGGCCTCGGCGGCCTCGGCCTCGCGAACAGCCTCGCTATGCTTGCGGCGCTCCTCGAGGATGGTGTCCATTCCACGCGTCCGCATAAACCGGGGATCGTTGGGATCGATGGCAAAGGCGGCCGAGGTGAGGAGCGGGGCAAAGCGCGAGTCGTTGACATCGACATCAAACTGGCTCGACGCCTTGCTCGCGCTCTCCGCCTGCTTCTTGCCGCGCTTCCGCCGCTTGCGCTTCGGCGCAGTCTCCTCCTTGTATGCCTTGACCACGTTGCGGAAGTCAAAGTTGCCCGTCCCGTCGTCCTCCGAGTCAGATCCGGAGCCTGACATGAGGAGCTCGAGCTGGGCCCGGGCCTTGGCATCAAGTTCGTCGCCGGGCTTGCTCCCGCGCTTGCGCTTCTTGCCGCCCGCCATCTTAGCCTCGAGCTCAGCCTCTAGCTGTTCCTGCTTGAGCTCGAGCTTCCTCTGCCGGCGGTACTCCCGGCGGCGCTCCTTTTCCTGGCCAGGTATCGCTGGCCGAGGGTGAGCCCGTCGTCGACCTTGCCGGTCCCCTCGTCGTCCCCGTCGGCCTGCTTGGCGGCGAGCTTGGCGCGGACAAGCTGAGAGACCTCGGAGCGGACGCCGGTCTGGAACGTGATGACGTCGCCATCGTCATTGGCGGGGGCAATCGAGCTCGACGACGACACGTCCGAGTCCGACGCCGAGTCGTCCTCGCCCGAACTGCTGGCGTCCGACGACGACGCGCTGCTCTTCTGCTCGCCCGAGCCAAACAGCAGCGAACGGTACTTGTTGCGCTTGGACTTGCGCTTGATCTTCTTGCGCTCCTCGGCGTCGAGCTTATCGGCTGCCTTGGCGGCAGTGGCAAGGGCCTCTGCCTCGTCGTCATCGGTCGACGAGTCTGAGACCGACGCGAGGTACGCCTTGAAGTCCATGTCACGGAGCTCGTCCTTGGTAAACTTGCGCTGGGTGACCTTGACCCGATCGTGCGGCGTGGTGTCCCACGTCAGTTCGACGTTAGTGTGCTGCTTGGCCCGGGTGAAAAGTCCGGCGGCGTGTAGTTGGACGGCACCGTCGTCGCTGTCTCGCGCGGCGGAAAGTCGTTGAACTCGACCTCGTCCGGCACATAGCGGAGATCCATAAAGTTGGACGACTGCAGAAGCTCCATCCCGTCCACCTGCTCGTAGATCGCATGTGCAGTCTCCACGCTGTCGGCCACGGCCACGGCGTAGTAGTACCGCATCTTGCGGAGCTGGTACGCCCGGAGCTTGGCCTTGTCGACCTCATCCTTGGCTGCGTCGTTGACCTGGTTGAGCGACTCGGCGTCGACCTTGTACAGCTTCTCCTCGCCCTCCTCGGCGGGATCCTCAAGCTGCGGTCCGTGCTTGTCCTCGATTGCCATCTGCTCCGCACCAAACTGCGAAGGGTAGATGGTGACCGAGATGACTGAGCCGGCCGGCGGGCAGAACGACTGCAGGATCGCCAGCAGATCGACAGCCTTGATGTACTCCCAGTCCAAGTTCATGATCGCCAGCCGCCGATGCGCATCTCCCACCGGCACCTTTTCCTTCGACACTGTGTCCTGCACCACATAGCCCTCCTCCACACTCGAGTCCTCCTCCTCAAACTTGGCCGCATCCTCATCCTCAGACTCGGACTCGGAGTACTCGGAGATGATCCCGATACCACGCGAAGGATCATACATCGGCTTGTTGCTGCTGGATCCAGACTCGGAACCGCCCGAGACCGATTCAGTCTCAGAGCCAGATCCGGCCTCGACATCACTACCAGCAGCCTCGCCAGAGCCAGAGCCCGAGCCCGAGCCGACTCGGGAGCCCGAGCCCGAGCCCGAGCCCGAGCCCGAGAGCTCGTAGAACTTTGACAGTTCCTCGGCCTGCGAGACCTTGTTCTTGCGCCCGTACTTGTCAACGGATGCTATTCTCCATGCATGTAATATGTGAGTGTGTCATCCATGGCCATGGTCATAGCCGCCCGACCCGTCTCGGTCCCCCTCTCCCGAGAGGATGGTCGACTTTGGCCCATCCATCCAAAGTGGGGGGGAGGGGGGGGAGGAGAACAGCTGGAGCTGAGGGTGGCGGACAGTGGTGACAGCCAGAGTTGGTGAGGAGGGAGAAGGGAGGAGGGGGTATGTAGATGGTGATTATGGGAGCTATACGTACCCTGTGTCTGGAAGCGTGGGTCGTCAAACATGGCCTTGAACCGGTGGTCGATCTTGACCTTGCGCTCCTTCTTGGGCCGACTCATGAAGCGAGGATCATGATGCATGCGGGCAAAGCGATCGTCATCAGCAAAGACAGGCGCATCATCGCCATGCTTCGGCTTGCCCTTGCTCTTCTTCTTGCCGCCGTCTCCCTTGCCCATGTTTGACAGCTGATGTGCCGACAAGAGACGAGTGGCCAGCCGCTTGAGTCCTGTCTGGCGAGCCGCTGCTCGGCTCCACCATCGGTTGATTTGGGACGTATGCGTCGATGGCTGCAGTTTAGAGGTCCACGGCGATCATCAGGGGCTCACAGTCGGGAGAGAACCTCGATGATCTCTTCGCCGTAGAGGGCGGCCTTCTTGTTGGGGATTGAGGCCATGGCTTGGAGCTCGTCCATGGTGGATGGCTGGCGGCGGGCGAGGTCAAGGAGGGCGGCCTTGGAAAAGACATGCGCCGGCTTGATGCCGCGACGGGTGGCGATGGCTTGGCGGGCGGAGTCTAGGACACGAAGGGCGTGGGGAATCGATGCTGGGCCACGGACGCCACTGGAGCCGAGGTCGTCGGGGGTGATGAGGGCTGGGCTGGCGCGGCGGCGTGGGCGAGCGCGGCGGCTTCCTGAAGTCGTGCGGCGGCCAGCGCGCGGCTTGGGCGGCGGCTCGGCACGGGGGGTAGGGGCGAGCTGTGGCGAGCAGACGTCGCAGCAGGGCGAGGCCTGGACGCGCGGCGGATCAAACTCGCCAAAGTGGTTCAGGACATGGGCGCGACGGCACGAGGTGGCGAGGCAGAACTGCTTGATGTCGTCGAGCTGGTCCTTGATCTGGAACTCACGGTTGCGGTGGAGGATCGGCGGGGCGTCGGGCGATTCGTCAACAGCCGGGTGCTCTACGACGGTCGAGGACTGAACCTTTTCAGCGCGGACCAGGTCCTGCGGCTTGTAGAAGAGCACACAGGTGGCGGACTTGCCGTCGCGACCCGCACGGCCCGACTGTTGGTAGTAGCCCTCGAGCGACATCGGGAGCGAGTGATGGATGACAAAGCGGACGTCGAGCTTGTCGATGCCCAGACCAAACGCGACTGTGGTGCAGAGGACCGGTGTCTCGCCGGATGACCAGGCCTCTTGGGCCTTGGCGCGGTCGGCAAGCGACATGCCGCCATGGTAGTGCGCGGCGGCGATGCCCGACTCGGCCAGCCGCTCAGTCACCCGCTCGGCGTCGCGGGTGGTGAGACAGTAGACAATGCCCGACTCGGCGGCAAACGAGGTGGCAATGAGCGCCGCAATGTCGTCCTCCACATCCGACTCTTTCGGCCGGACCACGTAGGTCAGGTTCGGCCGGTCAAACGACTCAGCAACGAGATGGAACTTGCTGGCGTCGCCGAGGAGCATGGAACCAACGTCGCGCCGGACCCGCGGCGGCGCGGTGCCGGACGCCGCCAGGACCGGGATTTCGGGTGCAATGTCGTGGAGGACACCGAGCTCAGCATAGTGCGGCCGAAAGTCGTGCCCCCACTCGGACATGCAGTGGGCCTCATCGATGGCAAAGAGCGAGAGGAGGCCGCTGGCGGATAGGTCGGCGACGAGGCTTTGGAACGAGTCCAGGGCCACGCGCTCCGGCGTAACAAACAGCATCTTGCACGGCAGCTGATAGGGCTGACTGGCCATGGCCAGCGAGCCCTCGATCCACGCTCGTGTATCGCGCGAGGTTGCCGAGGTGATAAAGGTCGAAGGAATGCCGAACGAGTTGGTCCGCGTTGCCTGCTCCGAGATGAGGGCCAGCAGCGGTGAGACGACAAGAGTCAAGCCCGGCATCAGCGCCGCGGCCATCTGGTAAATGAGGCTCTTACCGCCGCCGGTCGGTAGCGAAGCAAACGTGTGCTTGCCCTCCATCAGCGCAGCGATGGCCTCGACCTGGGTCGCCCTCAAGCCGCCGGCATGCCCAAACACCGATCGCGCCACCGCATGCAGCACCTCGACCGGCACCGGATCGCGGCTCCCCTCCGCCGCATCTGCCGCACGAGCCACTGCTTTGGCCACAGCACTCAACTCGTGCCCGGCAAGCCCGCCTCGCTCCGCCAAGTCCACCACCGAGTAGCCGTCCATGATCGGCCGCGGCGCATCCAGACCTTTAGAAGCCTCCATCCTGGCCAGCTTGCGCTGAAGCAGACCTTCACGACTAGAAATCCCTTGCCCGACCCCCAGGCCTCCATGTTGACCACCAGTAGCACCTTCCTCACCTCGTCGATCAGCGTCCTCTGCCCGAGACAGCAGCTTGCCCTTGACCAGCGCGTCCACCGCCGCCGCCGCCGCCGACCCAGCCCTCGCACCTCCACCAGCATTTAGCCACATCATCCGGACCATCCTACTTCCCACACACAGCATGTGAGTCAATGTGGGGTGTAGATGGAGAGCGGTAGGTGAGTGCGTGGGGTGGGGGGGAGGGGGGAGGGGGGGGAGGGGGGAGGGGGG